GCCGCTGTAACTTCATCACGCTTGTCCCGCAATCCCGGCTGTGATCTAAGTATCTGCTGTACTTATCAAACATACCTGGTGGATCGAAATCTTGTGATGTTTGTTTTCTTTTATTAGAATTTCTTTTCTTAAAAGCTATCGATATATTCGGGGAGGATAAATACTTTACTAATAAAATAGGTAGTTTATTTATATTTAAGTTTATTGTGTACTTAGAGGAAAAAGGCTTTATCTAATATATAAAATTCTCGTGTCACAGTTTTTAATTTCTATTTTTTTATTATACAACATACAAAAATACATGCAATTCTCAATTTTCACCCTTCTACGATCAACCCTTATTTTTTAATAGCCATTTTAATATTTAAATCATTTTTTCTCTCCGGTCGAAAACTGATCAATCGTCATTTAATTAGTTATCCCCGCCAGATGTCTACAGGTCACTTCTGACCCAATAATTGTGCCCGTGTGAAGCCGGGACGGGTCGCTAGTATAACATAAAATAAATCACATAAACTACCCAGCAAATATTCTCGACATTTCTGCCATCCAGAAATTACAACAGAGGATAAAGAAAACTATTTTTCAAAACACAAAAACTTGGCAGAAGCCACGGTGCTGCCTCACATCCGGTTCCACAGGAAGAACCGGCTTTACTTCCCGTGTGAGCATATTTTTTATCTGTGGAAACTTGCCCCAGGATATTTGCAAAGTGCAGCCAGCTAATGCGTTTTTTACTGGACTTTAAACCACTGAGCCATGCTTGGTAATTATTAAACAATTTAATGTGCAGAGGGTAGCTTTTCAGTTCGGGTTTTTGTAACAGGATATAAGGGAATGTGAAAAAAACTCAACCTTTTTCGGTTTCCGTTACGAAATGCATAAAAAATTGAACATACGTCCTTCTTTCTTTTATTATGGGACAAGTCGGCAAACGAGTAAACGGAATACCTCATGGTAACCAACCGGTGCCGCGCATGGACAATCGCAATACCAAACAAGTTTACAAGTGTGTTACCTCTCTTTTGAAACCTTGATTAAGGTTTCAGATATTTAAGGATCTATTCCTTCGCGACTACCACCAGCGATAGAATTAGATGGACGAAGATTGTCCGAAAGAAAGTGACACTGCGGTATGAACACGACCCTCAGCAACAAGGAATACGACGCAAGTAGGAGGGCGTGTGGGAGAGACTTTAAACGTGAAAGAACGAATAGGTCGGCTTCACCGGGAGTGATACACTCCCGGTGAAGCCAATGCAATGGCAATGGTATCCCATTGTCTCACAGAAAACCAGCGTGAAACAACCAGTCCGTTGTGTTTCGCCGTTTGAGTGAGGTTACCACAGGCCCAATCCTTCCCCTCTCCCAATCCGTAAATCTCAAAAACCCTAATCCTTAAAAGGTCGGCAACGCACTCGTTTAGGTAATCCGTCAGCATTAAATAATAAAGAATAACCAGTTATTACCTATACTGCTTACGTCATTTAGTAACTAAGTTTGCACTAAATTTGGTATGGATGACCATTGTTCTGGTTCGGACATCCAACGATTTTTGATACGATAAAGTACCAGCTAATAAACAAGTAAGATTTTATTCTTCTTAAAGCACTGGCAATATTCCTAAAACAATCTGTCAAGGAATCCCATTCCTTAGTTCGCAAAGGGAAACTTAAAAGGAACCGTTTAGTACAAGTGATATCTTTAAAAATAATGTGAACAAAGGTAGGTACTTCTAGATTTCTTAAAAATTTAAGAGAATATAAAAATATATATATTATAAACTAGCTTTTGCCCGCGACTTCGTTTGCGTGGAATAGTGACTTCCTGCAGATTTTTGGATTTAACCGCATGGTTCCCGAGCTCGCGGGATTTTCGGGATAAAAACTATCCTGTATCCTATCTCGAGTTCCAAACTATGTCCGTACCAAATTTCACACAAACCGGTTGAGTAGTTTAGGCGTGAAGAAAAGACAGACAGACAGAGTTACTTTCGCATTTTTAGTATTAGTTTAGATTTGGATTATATCATAAATATTATTGAAGAAAACACAAAAACCAAATGATTACGCAACATATAATTCTTAGCACAAAATAAATATTACAAAATGCAACATCAAACATGTAAACTATTTAAATATTTGTGAGAGTTCAACTTTCACTGGTTCACGTACCGTCTTGCGAGTATCGCCCTACTGCGAGGCACTATGCACTCCATTATAGTGTGAACCCTGTCGCTCCTCATGTATGCGGGGTCTGAGGATAGTTCTTTGAGGGCATTTAGGGCCATGTTCTTGTCGAAGGGAAGTTCTGTCCCGTCAAATATGCGGGAAAGCCAGCGGGCTTCGACACAACTGGGAAAAAGAAAAACCGCAGTTAGATGATGTACTAAGGGTGACAAAAATGCATGGAGAGCTTAAGGTCGACTATTGACTGACAGGTTTTGCATAACGCTACCATTGATAACTAGATGGCGTTGCTTTTAAATGAAAATAACCCTACAAAGCTTGATTACTTTACACTGCAGAGGCACACAATAAGGTTTTTAATGGTTAAAATAATAATTAAGAAACAATAATATATTTATATTCAAATACACATTAATTATGTTAATTTTCTTATTTCCGAGGACTTAATACAGCGCCATCTAAGTCAAGTCAAGCAAACCAATTAAAAGATGGCGTCAGCAATGAATGATAGACAATAATAAAAGTTATAAACTAACCCGCATTTTCGACATCATAAAAAACGCGATCGGTAGCTCGGACGAATAAAAATGATAGAATAATGAAGTCGAAGGGCTCCGGTTCGGTTCCGGGCTATTATTTCAGTTCAGGTTTATTAACAATGGTCTTTTTATATTTTTTTATATAAAATCAATTAAATAATTAAAATATTTGACGTTTAATATTTATAAAAGACAACAAAAATAAATATATATATTATTTTAGAAATAAATTATATTTATAAATATAAATAAATAACTTTTATAATATGTGCTAACTATTAATGTAAAAGTAACATAATTTTCTTACAGATTAATTCTCATAAAGGATAACAAATAAAACTATTTTAGTGACATTATAATTTCAAACATTTATTTCTTAAAACATAATATTTATTTCCTTCTTATATGGTTTATACCCTGACCTAATAACTTTTCAGCTAACTGACACATTATTTAATTAATTTTTCATAAGATTAATAAGTATTTTAAATCAAAATTGTTTTGTGCTAGTCATTTATTAGTTAGTTTTAAACACAATGTTATAATACGTTTCTATATAATATGCAACCTTACTTCTGTAACTATTTTACCTCCCCATAAAATTTAATTAAAGTATTGACTAAAGTGATTCATTTTGTGCATCGTGTTATGACAAAGGTTCATAGCTTAAGTATTCGTTCCAGAACAAGGAAGATATTGAAGCTAGACCTTAAATCAATAACATTTGTAAGACCAGGATATAGCAGTCATTAGATATGGGACGAATTGTTTATAGTAATAATAAATAAATAATTAATTATATTGGAATAGCATCTGTAGATATTAATATTGCTTTTATTTTTATTTCTCATATTTAGTAAAACATTAAAATCATTACTAATAACAGTTGCTGGTTATAAAGTAGTCAATAAATTTATCCTACTAACATTAAGTTTGAACATTTATCCATTAAATAAATTATTATAGCTACCCCGGTCTTGTAATTGCTTAATCCTATAGTCAACAATATCTTTTCTTTTAAGAACTCGTGTAGCCGCCATTTTTTTATCGATCCTATTTTTCCTATCTCGCTAGCCAAGGAATAATCCGTATGTCTGATTGCTGACTAAAGACTTGCACAATTATGGAACATTACACATAGGACAATTGTCCTGCACGAACGTTATCACTAGCACATCTTCATGACGTCATTCAGCACATGTAGTTTTCACTGTTTGCATCACTGAAGATGACAATGCTCCAGTAATTTTCCTCATAACCTTGCACCATAAGTTGAAGCTGGTCTGAGTCAATATCACGTCTTCTGCCAGATCCACTACGGTGCTCCAATGAACCGTCTTCTTGAAACAGCTTTAGATATCCATAAAGTGGCAGTCTTTACCTGTAAGGGACGTGTATTATTAATTATTTTCATGTATCGATAACTATGGATAATAAAATAAATAACGAACGGTCATTTTAAAGAATACTTACGTTTAAGCCAGTTTCTCTCGAAATTTCAGTTTAATTTAAGCTTTGATTATGCAATGCTATTATTTGGGCCCTCGTAGCCATATCAATATTTGAACGCAAACTCATTAAGTATAAAAATAAATACTAAAAACTTGTTAAACATCGGAACTGAACTCACTCAAAGATAGTAAAGAATGTTATGATTGAACAAAAAGGTTTAATTTTTATACAGTTAATATTAAATTACCCACAACTGTTTTGAGATTTATGATCAGGTTAAAGTTGCTAAACAACTCCAATATAATAAAGAGTAGGATAATTTCAATCGATTTCAAGGTTACGCAATGGCCTAATGGCAAGTGGCATCGGTAAATTTTATGCTACCGAGTTCGAATCCTGGTTATTGCGTGCTTTGCTTTAAAAAGGTTTGGAATATCGTAGCATTAATTTGTGTAAAAATTTATTAAGATAATAACTTTGTATCTGATAAAAACTATAAATGTATATTTTTCAATACCACTAGTATACTAGCGCCATCTATGTCGTCAATGGTATATTTAATTACGGCGATGAAACGCCGTACAAACGATTTTGATTTGGAATCCTCCATGCACTTATGACACTGATAGTACATATGTAAGCACTGTATACTTTAACCATATGAACTACGATCTCCAAACATCGGTTCATTAGGGCTGATGTCCAGCGGGTGCTTTTTTGTGAGGGGAAAATTATCAAATGCCTTCTCCCGCCCAGAGTGAGGCGAGAGAGAGTGGCAGACTCTTACTGACTAAAAATACCCCCGTTCCTTCTCCATGGTTCTAAACTACATCCCTATCAATTCCCAACGAAATTGGTTTAGCCGCTCTCGAGTTATAAATTAATAGTGTAACTAACACTGACTTTCTTTTATATACATATATGATATAGATATATTACTCACGATGGGCACGGATCTGCAGGCACCAGTGTAGTTATAGGGGTCGGTTTGAACACCGTCTGGGGTTCCTCCCTCAATGTATACTTCTTTAGGCGACCAGACTTGTTACTCTTCTTCAAGCAGTGCTCCTGAGAAAAACCTTTTTTTGAATACCTACTGTTAAAGCAATACCAAAAGCAATACCAAAAGCAAACCCTAAAATATACCTATACATACTACACACAATTGACATAGCCCAAAGGATAAGCAAACTGAAGTGGAAGGGCAGGCCACATTTGTCACGAGAGGAACTGGGAAGCTGTCTCCTCTTTCTGCGAAGCAGTGATGCTCGCAAAGGAGGAGGCGGAGCGCGTGAGGGAACTATCCTCCTCGCGCCCTAGCCGCCGCAGAACGTGACATTCCGGGCGTCAGGGATCGAGAGATGATCTCCAGCCACCGTAAGTGCGGGTCTGCGGACGGCGACGCGAGTAAGCTTAGCTCGCCGCCCAACCAGAACCAATAGACCACCACAGACGGGACCCTAAAGGGCTGATGTTGACCTCGGTCCAGAGCAGGAGAAGGAACGGGGGGCTTTTTAGTCAGTAAGAGTCTGACATTTCCTCCTGCCCGACCCTGGGCGAAAAAAGTCATTTGTTGATTTTCGCCCCACAAAAAAGACCATTTTGTCGAAAAACAGACCGTTAACCGTTCTAGAGTGGAGATCACGTCTACGCCAGAGAAGCTAATTGCGTTGCCGGCCTCTTAGGGTGCCAGTTTTGAAGATTTATGTATTGGAGATCGCCGTGATTGGACTTTTGGGGTTGCGGAGTAATCGCTATAAGTTACTGCAACCCGTTTTTTCTTCTGGAGCTAGAGAAGAAAATGGTGTGGATTTTAGTCAGTAAGAGTTTGACACTCCCTTTCGCCTCTACCCTAGGTGAGAGAAGACATTTCATCATAATGCCCCTTAAAAAAGTGGTTATTTGACCGCCATTAACCTCTCTCACCCAGCGAAACGCAACGTATGTAAGTGTAGGTTCACGCCGGTTTTCTGAGAGATGACTGATCTCGCTGATTAAGTCGGCTCCTTCGCATCAAAGGGCGTTTCCACACATTAATCCAAATATTTTAAACTAGCTACTCGGCTCCATTTGATCGTAGCGTGATGTTTTATAGCCTATAGCACTGAGGAATATTGTAGCTATCTATCAGTGAAAGAATTTTGGAAATCCGACCAGCGGTTCCAAAGATTACCTCCTACATACAAACTTACAAATTCTACCTCTTTATAATATCAGTATAGATAAATCTTACGTGATAATATGTATATTCTTTGTATTCCTTAATCTTTTCGGTAATGAGCTGCAGAGTCAGTTGTAGCTGGTGGACGGATGGGTGCTTGTCTCCTAATAGGTTCTTGAACGGCTCCAGGCTGCAGTCTAACATCCTGGAAACATAACCAGCTAGTTTACAGTAAATGTCAAAGTCAAATCATTGATTTCAATTAGACTATTACAGGCACATTTGAACGTTAAACAAAGATTTTAGCTTTGTTTCTCAATGTGAAGATGCAAGTCCATTTGAACATGCGAAAGTAGGTCTTCTAGACCTTTTGTTGTTTGTAAATGTTCTTTTGTAGATTAGGATAACTATTATACTTCTGCTAAATCAGCACTCATACGATTTCTTTTCAATGATAAGTGAATTTAGCTAATAGGATTTAATCCAAGATCAATGAGTAGTCAGTAGATTTAGCCCCCTGCCCTATTTCAGTGTCCATAATCGTTATCACTTTTTATTTGATAATCGTTATTAGCCATAATGATTATCAATGCCCTTCTTGGGTAGAAAGGGAGGGGAGGACTGATATCGAAAAATCCACTCAGACTAATAATTTAACATTAGAAGGAGGAATTTGTTTAATATTATAATTACAATAAGTATCTTATACAAAAAAAGGAATTATACGATCGATATGAAACTACAACTTTCAAACAAGCTATTCTAAGCAACGCGCCAGTGGCTTCCCAGGTATCCATGGGCGGCGTTGATAACTTCATCATCATCAGCCGGGAAACGTCCATTGCTGGACAAAGGCCTCCCCCTTAGCTCTCCACGTCGAACGACAAGTTGCCACCTGCATCCATTGGGTCCTCGCGACTCTGACGATGTTGTCGGTCCACCTAGCGGGTTGATAGCGTTGATAACTTACCATCAGGTAATCCGCATACTAATTTGCCTCCTGTTCTTTAAAAAATAGACTTCACCGTCGCCTTTCCATCTTGCACCACACAAGTATCACTTAAGCGTCTATCAATAAATCCATTACCCACATCTATATGTATTTGGAGCTTCATATCCATTACTAGAGCGACAATGTACGACTAATCCAATTAATTTGAAATTGCATCGTCCGACGGTACACGATGTATTACTGGCTTCCTCTAATGAACCTGTGTAGGGCTCGTGGACTCCATCAAGCCATATTTTGGACACTATTATTGGCGTACTGACTGGTAAGACTATTAAATTGGTTTTTATTTGTTTATTTTTCATAGATTTGTACCTTTAAAAATAGTAAGAAAAATAAAAGATTTTTCATACGTAGATACAATACTTTTATGAAATTGTTACTATTTTTAAATTTTTAGGTATTAGTTTACAATGTTTTTTTTTGTATTTGTTAAAAATGTTTAAGTAACTGTTATATTTAGAGTCATTTAGATAATTTAATTATTGTGACATTATTATAATTATAACAATTTTTTTAAAAGCTTAGCTGTTTAATTATCTTTATTATAATTAGATACTAACAAACTCGTCATCAGTAACAATATCGAACCTAATCATATACATCAATAACAGAAAATATGTTGCCTGTTGAACCAAACGATCCATATTTCTCACACGGAGAAAGTTTAAGCGTTAATCACCAGTTCGAGGCGGATTGGCGATTTCAAATTTATAATTAGACATTATAATTCTCGGATTTTTCACGATGTTTCCTTCACCGTATGTCAGTGGTGTCTAAATAATTGTCATCATGCATGAGAAGCGTTTAAGCCTGCAGGCTACAACGATATAAATAGTAACTTATTATCCAATACACTATTCTATTACAAATATGTAATAAATAAAAATATCTTAGAAATAGTGCTGCAATTTCGCCACCCAACGCAATAATAGATCAAGCTATGAACATTATTTGAAAATATCGGTGACAAAATACGACTTTATACAATCCCAAGCATCGAAGCAATCGAGTTGAGAAGTACCGATTATAAAATTGATCGTGACTACTTTGTAATAGAGAAATATACTCACTACTGCCGCTACTGGCTACCGTTAACTGCTTGATTTATCGTTCGAATACATACGAAGGTATATTTTGTGTTAGAACGATTGTTAAGTGTGTGTTTTTATTTACAACTAGCTGCTCTCGCGCGGTTTCACCCGCTGCTCGGCTCCTTTTAATCGTAATGTGATGTTTTACAGCCTATAGCATTCAGGAATATTGTAACTATCTATAAGTGAAAGAATTTTGGTAATCCGACCAGCGGTTCCGAAGATTACCTTCTACATCCAAACTTACAAACTACCTCTTTATAATATTAGTAAGTATTGTCACTCCTAGCCTGGTGGTAAGTGATTTGCGATCTATGATGGATTACTCCTACGCATAAGCAAGATCAGGCCTTGAGAACTGAAGACACCCAGGTTAGGCCCTTCTGGAGACATACACTTCGGCAAAGATTTCTACTCCTTGGCGAACCGCTATATATATAGTTTTTTTTTTATGTAATTGGTCGGCAAATAAGCAGACGGATTACCTGATGGTAAGCAATCAGCGCCGCCCATGGACACCCACAACGGAGGATTTACGAGTGCGTTGCCGACCTTTTAGGGATTTGGAGATTTAGGGATTGAGGAGGGCTTGGGGGCGGGGAAGGTTTGGGCTTCCGATCCGATTGGGATATGATTTTAAAACCCGAGGCGAAGCGCTTCGTGCATGTTTAACGGATTGTCTAGTGGTACTATGGTTGAAAAGACTAAGAGGAATCAAGCAGTGCAACGTCGTAGTGAAAATAAAAAATATATCGTAATTTGTTAAAAGTCAAAAGTCAAAAATAATTTGTTCCCATTAGACCCTTACAGGCACTTTTTTTTAACGTCAAACAAAATTTGGAAGATATAGTGTCAGTCTGTCGGTCAGTCCTCAAGCTATTTGCTCGTTCTAAAGTGTAGATTCCGATGGAGAAGAACAAGCAAGAAACTCTAAAACTCTAAAAAAATGGTTTACATTAAAACAATATATAAAGAGCCAATAGACACATCACAGATGTGGCCTAACAGGGCTGATGTTCAGCTGAGATTGTGGAGCAAGCGCGATTAGGTATCGTGGCGACGGCCTGGAGCAGGAGAAGACAAGGAGTAGTTCTTAGTCCGTAAGAGTCCTCCTCTTCCGGGGTTGCGGGGTAAGCGCAATGAGGAACCGCGACCTCGGCCCAGAGCAGGAGCAGGAACAGGGGGGTTTTTAGTCTGTAAGAAACTGACACTCTCTGAAGAGTCATGTGATAATTTTTCCTCACAAAAAAAGAGTAATCCTCTCCCCCAAAAAGCACTCCGACGCATTCTTATTAAATAAATTGTAAACATATTTAGAAATTTCTGATTGTAAATGTTAAAGTGCCAGTCCAAAATATTCCCTTGTATGTTTCAACTCAAACCGTTTATCAGTTAATGCGCTACCTATAAACTCAGTTCAAATTGTTATAGCTATACTCGTATATATGTATGTATGTATACTATATAGTATAATGTCTCTATATCCTAAACATCTTCATGAGGTTCTAAGCACTATAATCTAGATTCCTAATCTGATTAGTTAGAGTTTAGACGTTTGGACTAAAATGTTACTGTCGGTAAGGATTTGAGTTCGATTTGGAGTCTTGAGATAATTATTATGGAGTTTTGTTTATAACATACTAGTTTCATGCCAGTGACTTCGTTTGCAAACGTTGGTAGATCTATACTAATATTATAAAGAGGTAAAATTTGTAAGTTTGTATGTAAGTGGTAATCTTTGGAACCGCTGGTCGGATTGCCAAAATTCTTTCACTAAAAGATAGCTGCAATATTCCCGAGTGCTATAGGCTATAAAATATCACGCTAGGAAAAAAATGGAGCCGAACAGCGGGTGAAACCGCGCGAGAGTAGCTAGTAGGTTATACATCTAGATCTTTCTCTTGAATCATTGTATACTTAAAAATATATATTTTCTTTCGTACAAAGTAATACGTTACATTTAGTTAAATTAGGAAATAATTAATTTAATAACGATTATATAATTTTTTATTTGTGCGGTCTTAAGACGGTGAAGGAAAACATCGCGAGACAGCCTGGTCTTTTAATTTCTAATTGTAAATTCGAATTCGCCAAAAGTAAGCGTGGTGATTAATGTCCTAACTATCTCATTCTTAAAAGAGATCTTTGCTCCACAGAGATCTCTTATATGCTGATGATGTGATGTGATGATGGGTTCAAAGTGATTTAACTGATCTATTAAATCTATGTGCCTATATTTTTTTTAGGTGATAGGACGGCAAACGTGCTTACGGATTACCTGATGGTAAGCAGTTGACGCCACCCATGGACACCATGGACGCAACTAATAGGAGAGGGGAAGGATTGGGCCTCCGGTAACCTCACTCACATGGCGAAACGCAACGCTGTGGTTATATCACGCTGGTTTTTAGTATGGCCGTGGTATCACTCCATTCGAGCCGGTCCATTCGTGCCGAAGCATGGCTCTCCCACATTTGTGTTTCTAGACTATTGTTCAATATACATATAACACACGAACCGTTGTACAAATCTATATGTTAATTGCAGGCTGACGTCACGTCAACCGTGTCGTGTCGTGTCGTGTCGTGACGTGACGTGTCGTGACGTGTACGTCATTACCATCAAACTGGCGTTAAGCCTGCCACTCCCCAACTATCATTACTGAGCGATTAATTATACAGCTATGCTAGCTCTAATTGTATATCTGTCTGTACATTTACTATAGATGTGTACATATTGCGTTTGTGTAAGTTTTATTTACATTAATTTGATAGTTTTGTTAATAAAATACAATTTGTTTTGAGTTTTTTAAATATTGTAAAGAATGTAAATACTTTGAACAGTTTTGTTTATTGATTTGCTGGTACATATAAGTACTTGATAAACTAATGTGGCTCATGGATTATATTGACTGCACGGTAGGTGCGGTGGCTGGGCAACTGGCTGCCGTGCAACGTGTCGCGGGTTCGATTCCCGCACGGAACAACTCTTTGTGTGATCCAAAAATTTTTGTTCCGGGTCTAGGTGTGATGTGTATGTTAAATTGTATGTTTGTAACCGCACCCACGACATAGGAGAAAATCTGAATGTGGGACAAATGTCTAAAAAAAAAAATTACTTGATGGTAAGCAATCGGCTCCGCACATGGACAACCACGAAATGAGAGGAGTTACAATTGCGTTGCCTTTTGGGGAATGCAACCTCAAGTATTACCTTTTACTATATAATATACAATCCATTAGAATAGCTCTACTCACGTGAACATGTCATTGATATGATTCATGAATTTTTGTATTAGCTGATCCTTTTCCTCATTCTTCTTTCTTAAAGCATCTGTCCTTGTCTTCTGTTCTGCTAGAAGATTCCGCAATTCTTCAATTTTAGTGTCCAGTTTATTCTCCTTCTGTTCCATCCACTCTCGACGGTCATCTGAAAATCAAAAAGCAGGATTTTTTTTTTAGTTTTTAAATATTCCATTTTTCAAATGTCCAATCATCTCAAATACATTAAGTTAAGTTCTTATTATTTGAGATTCATATCTGGTAAAAAAATGACCATATCTGCTTACCTACTTTGAGATATTCACTCACACCTGGTTTCTGAAAGGCTTGTGAACGCTAAAATTAACTAATCTCCTGTTAAATCTCTTGTCAAGTCATCTGATTGGTTATTGATAATTCAGTCAACCAATCAGATGACTTGACAAGAGATTAAATTGATTTTAACATTGATCGGCCTTTCGGAAACCGGGTGTAAGATGTGTAAAAAACAAAAAAAATATTCTAAAATAACATTTTATGGGTAATGGTAATAGACATCCTACCATGTTCCTCGCAGGTTCTATTTAAATTTGTTAAAAAAAGAATGTCAAAATTGTCAGACACAACAATTCCACATGTTTTTAAGTAGGAAACCACCAAACTGAATTTATTTTTATAATTTGATGATAACATCGTTCAGTGTTTTAAATAGGAATCTTCTTTAGATTGGTTTATTGCAATTGTATTTAGTCGGGTAGCGAGGTCTTCATTACAGTGCAGAGTGAGGCCACGTTACAAAAAGTTTCCAATAGAATATTCTAAGATTTCCTATCACGCATAACGCTTCAAAGAGCCAATGGACCACCACAGATAGGGCCCTATAGGGCTGATGGTCAGCCGGGGTTTTTAGTCAGTAGGAGACACTTCCCCGCCCCACTCAGAGCAGGAGAAATCACTTGATGATTTATCCATAACAAAAAAAAAAAAAAAATCGACAACAATTCTTCTTCCGAAATTGACCAAAAAGAACTACAACAGAAACTCACAGATTTGCTGTCTTATATCTTGAACATCACGGCGCAGAACCTCATTTTCAGCGCAGTACTCGGTCAGAATGACATATATTGAAAAGTTCTCCTGTTCCTTCTTCTTAAATTGGTCCAAGATCGTCCGAGTACTGTTTTCTCCAGTGTATTCCTTGAAAGAAAATAAAACAATAGTATTGTAGGGACACATGTAAGTATGAATGTCAGAATGCAAGGTAAGCAAAAACGTATGGCAGCGTGAGACATGCAAGGAACGGACAGTAATTGTGCACAGGCCAGAGTGACCGGTTCTCTTTAGAGGTTTACGCAAAATAAATCCGGTATCCGAATGCCATCTTTCACTCAACCTTTTAACCATCCACCAGACGAGGAACAACCACCATAAGTCCCTGGAAGAACTTGATTCAGATCTGAATAAATCAAGGTGCAATCTTCTTAGTTGTAAAAGCATTGCGTTCTTCTTAGTGGGATCAATTTTGTAAACAAGCTAAGCGCGAGAAATAGCGATATAGGACTTCATAATCAAACATATTTTTTATTATTTGGACGAATATCGCTTGAATGCCATTTTACTCATAACAACAAATGCATAAATGTGTTAGGAGTAAAAGAACTATGCCAATACTTATATGTTTTTTTTTGTAATGTCTCAATACTTTTTTCTATTATGGGCCTTATAGCTCCCTTGGGATGTGCAAGAACAGGTATTCAGGATTGGGGGTTGCTTGTCTATTGAGAGGACCTAGTGTCTTTTATGGGTGCTATTAGTGCCCACCGTGAAATTTTTATCCAAAACCTATGTGAAGATCTCTGGGTTGCCAGTTACTTTCATTTCTAAGAAAGGTTCTTTCAAATATTTAATAGTGTCTTTGTTCGTAATACAAGATATACTGAGTTAAAAATAAATATTGAGTACTTTTTCCAAATATTCCTTAATCTAGCAGTTATACTTGATTTTATTTATATAAAGAAACTTAAAATTGTTTGTTCTGGCCTTTCTAAACCCTTTTTGGATAATACTCTCAGTTTTAAATACTCTTAACTTAAACTAGAATTAACTATTATTTTAGCATCTTTGTAATAAACGCGGTTGGGACTCCTTTGTTGTTGCTGGCGTCCTTAAGCAGCGCTGATCACTTCCCACCCGTCTGCTCATTATCCCTCTTTTCCAAAAAAGATTAAAAAGAAGAAACTCACAGAAATTTCATCAAGAAGTTCAACATGATACTGATACTGCTTCTTCCGGTTTTCTTCGTCTATCTTCCTCTGTTTTTCTTCTCTTAACTCCTGTGTTTTGTTCACTCTTGCCATACCTTTAGTAGCTAGGAACTGGTATACTTTCATCTCGTGGTCGAAAGCCTTTACGAGGTCTCGCATTTCCTGAAAAATTAATTGAAATAATGAATTATTTTTTTCTGATAGGCAATAAAACGGCACTTTTACACGTCAAAATTATATATGAAACAAAAGATAAAAATATTAAGCCGACATTTGTTATCTGACTACCCTGAGATAAAATGTCGAAATAAACCCAGAGGTCCGTCTCCCGGCGCTCTCTTGAGGTTTGACGAATTAATAGCTCTGTGGTTAACTTTATAAAGAACTAACTTTTTTATCCTTTATTCATTATTGAACTGTTGACTGACCCATTAATTAAAAATATAATAAAATATTAGACTAGCTTTTTGTGTGATCTATTATTTTCTTCATTAATTAAGTACTAACATCATCACACATTGGCTGGAATTAGGAACCTTGACCATCTTCATACAATAGCGCTGTCCCTTCTTTTTTGTCTCCCAAAGTGACCCGTAACCCTTTTTGTTTGTTTTTGCCAAAACAATTCAACGGGGAACTCAGAACAAACATAAAAAGTATATCAAGTGAAGTTCAGTTAATTTATCAATACTCACAAAAGATGGGTGCACTGTATTATGTGAAGGGTAGGTAGAAATGCATATAATTATTTAGTATATTAATATAGAAATAAATCCTAAATTCAATCGGTCATGGCATTAGGCGTGAGACTAACTCCGATTATTATATTATTAGGAGACAGTTGTAATAAATGAAAATTTCAGAAAACAGGAGGGGAAAGTTGGGAAAGGGCTGGTCTTTCGGTGCTTACAAATAAGATGACTGATACCGAGGCATTAGGACAGCCGTGCGATACAGCGCTAGTTAGTTATAATAAAGTCTAAATTGTTTGTGTTCTGTGAATAGGTTTGTCTTTTTATATGTACGTAATCTTACTAATATTATAAATGTGAAAGTTTCTGAGAATGTATGGACGTATGCTTGGTATTCTTTCAGGCAAAACCACCAGAACCAGATTTGCTTGAAATTTGGTACATAGATAGGTTGGTAGGTTACCCTGGGCTAAGGTGAAAGCTAGTATAGTTATAAGCTAGTGATCTTCTGCGAATTTTGCCGGGAAATCTATGACGCAATATGAGGCACTTAAGTGGTAAAGTGGCAATGGGCAGGCCACGTCGCTCGAAAGACGGACGGCCGATGGGCCCGAAAAGTGCTAGAGTGGCGACCAAGGACCGGAAAACGTAGTGTTTGCAGGCCTCCCGCTAGGTGGACCGACAACACCATCAGAGTCGCGGGGAGCCAATGGATGCAGGTGGCAACTTGTCGTTCGACGTGGAGAGCTAAAGGGCAGGCTTTTGCCCAGCGGTGGACGTTTTTTCCGGCTGATGATGATGATGATGATGATGATGATGAATATAAGGTACCTGCATTTGTAACATCTGGTCTATCTTCCCCTTTTCCTGCATGGTCTTCAGCTTTGTGCACCACTCGTCCCTCTGGTCATACGCCAGGGTCGACGACTCGAAGAGGTCGTAGAGAAACTTCTTGCCCTTACTCAAAGCTGCTTGCATCTTGTTCCAGGCTTGGTTGAAGAGAGCACTGTGAAGACAGACCTTAAATCTGGTATATGCTACGATACTATAGGAACGATTACTGAATTAATGATGATTTAAGTGTGATCGGACAACCGGCGTGAAACAACCACGGCGTTGTATTTCGCTGTGCGAGTGACTTTGTAGTAGTGAGCCCAAAATCTTCAAATCCCTAATCCCCAAAAGGTCGCGAACGCACTCGTAACTCATCCGTTGTTGGGCTATGGACGGAGCTGATTGTTTACCATCAGGTAATCTATATGGTCGTTTGCCAAACTATCACAAAAAATAGATTGGATTCTTGGGTTGTTGTGGAGCATCATAAAGTTTTTTATTTTTGTTATTTTTGAGCATAAAAATCGTGAGGAAACCTTGACTTAAAATTTCTTATTACAAGTTTGGAATTGGCAATCCGCCTTGAGCAAGCGTGGTGATTTATGCTCAAACCGGCCTTTGCTCAGCAGTGGGCACTTGCAGGCTGATGATGTTATGTAGAAAACATGTTAATAAATTGCAAAACTATAGGAATACCGATCTCGCAGCATATGCTCTATCTCTTCCCTGATCTTCTTGTTCTCGTACTGTACAGCATTGAACCTCATCTTGGCAGCCTCCAGCTTGTTCTCAGCCGACATCAAGCGGTACTCACTCTGCCAGCGACGTTCTTCAATCTAGAAACAATATTAATAATTTTGTATTTCATTTTTAACATTATCTTTACTACAGCAGCAGTAAATGTTTTTGTTCTTTTTCATTCTCAGTAAACAGTGCTCAGAAATCTGGCCTTGAAGTGGGGCCTATTGAGATTGGCCGTCATCAGTAAGGGCTTTTTTGTGAGAGGAAAGTTATCGAATAGTCCAGGGCGAGGGCATGCACACCGCACACCCATGCTCACCTGGGAGACGGGATACCAAGGTTGGTTTTTGGATAAATAATAAGCCTGACTGCTTAAGTAAGTATTATATTTGTTTCTGTGCCACCTTAGCCTAGTCATTTGTGAATGTCTCCCTGTAGTCCTACGACAGGATAATTCAACAAAAATAATACAAGACACACTGTGTAACATAATGATAACTGAAAATAAAAAAAACTTAAGCCCACAACCAAGTTTAACAACTAACTTAATTTAAGCAATAAGAATATATGTAATATTTATATTTAGTATAAACTAATCAAATATACATATATACATTAAATACAATAATATTTAAAATAATAATAATAAAAAATCACATGATAACGAAATAAGTTTGACAGAAGATTTTTTTCGGAACATCTACAATAGCTTTGCAGAGCTTTAGGTCTTGGTGGAGCAAACTTTCAGTAAGGTTTGCTAAGAAAATTTAAAACCATGACCATCTTTAACAGGAATCAATTAAAATGTTCTAACCAGGGACTCATTGATTACATCGTCACGAGTTTCTAAAGTGTTGTAATCTTATTTATTTACCTCTCCTTGTGTGGTGCTTGCTAATTTTCGAAGATTCATTGTCTCCTTGTAGTTTTTCTGTATCAAATCGTTGTATTGTTGCATCATAGATACGTGTGCTGAAAGAAAATTATATTTTTATACTGCATTGCTGAATTTATGAGCACACTTTAAAAAGAAACTGAAGATGACTTTAGAAGTTGCTTCTTTGTGTCATATGATAAATTATTTAGTTATTGGTTTTGGTTTTGATGTACAAAGCTAGAAGATCGTAAATTTCAAAGTTTTCAGTAACAGGTAAAATTATCTTACTTAGTTGATATTTTTTATATCATTTTTTAATACTCAACACTCAATATTCAATGCCTTTATTGCTTTAGCATAGTACGTATTAAGGTGGTAGCAATTTGTGAGAGCTCAATTATGGACCCTGTAGGGCACAGCAAAATAGGGTAACAGGATAACAGATTTACTAAAATATGTATGCATTCTTCTTTGATTATTGTTGGCTTCAGCTAACAAGTACTACTGAAAATCAATTACTGTTGCACCATTTTTCCAACTTATCAACTTTGGGGGTGTGTAGCCGATCAATGTACTACGACCGCGTAGCAATGACGTCAGCTACGACGTAGCTCGTAGCTAGTGTTCGTAGCACTACGTAGCTCGTAGCAGCAAAGTTTTTACACAACAACAAAGTTATTTTAATTACTTATTTAGCATTATAGGATTCGGAAATCTTTATTATCTGTTGTACTTAACAGTTTTAATGAAGGGATGTACTAAAGCCAAATACAAGTACTGAAGACTTAAATTTGTCCTACAACTAAATAACATAATTAGTGTAATATTAAGATTTGTGTTTACCATCACATTTCTGTTGCGCAGCTATCCTGAACAGCAAAGACTTCTGCAGCTCTATTTTCATCTTCTTATCCTTCTTTTTATGAGCACCAGATCTGGCTATCTGGGGATCCGAAAGGTCAACGTATGTAGTAGCGAACTGATATGTTTTTGTTTGAGTATTAAAATGTAATAAAAGTATGATTTATATTATAAGTATTGATGATTTATTAATGGTGTCGGTGACACACTGTCGGTGCCGTAATAAAATCGTAAGTGTGGGACACTTACGAGTAGAGATGGAGCTGCTCCTGTTTTTTAAAACGTCCTGCTTGAGGATTTTTTTACTGTGCTATAGATGCCTTTACAAACATACGATTTCACATACATTTCGCATCCAGACCCTGAACAACAATTTGTGAATCACTCGTAACTCCTCCGTTGCGGGTGTCCATGGGCGGCGCTGATTACTTACCATCAGGTTCATTCGACCACCACAGACGGGGCCCTAAAGGGCTAATGTTCAGCCGAGGTTGCGGGGTAAGCGCAATGAGGTACCGCGACCTCGGCACAGAGCAGGAGAAGGAACAGGGGGGTTTTTAGTCAGTAAGAGTCTGACACTCCCTCCTGCCCGGCCCTGGGCGGGAGAAGTCATTTAATGATTTTCCCCTCACAAAAAAAAACCATCAGGTTATCCGTCTGCTCGTTTGCCGATCTATTACATAAAAAAAAAACTCAAAGATCCACGTAGCACGGCAACCGGTTCTCCAGCCACCGCATCAACCGTGGCGAAAAGTGGATTTCCTTTTGTTACCTTAAGGTCTTTGCAAAGGTTGAGATACTCCTTCTTCAAAGTCTGCATGAGCATGTCCTGTCTTCTGAACTGAGGGTGCACCCCCATCGTGCGGTGCTGACGATCTATTTGGATTATTCGGACCTAGAAGACAAATAGGATTTGAACTATTTATTATTTTGTTTTTTTATTTGTAAACCGTCTCTGTTCTCTTTTAAACGGTTTTTTTTATATTGTACTAGAGGTCGCCCGTGGCTCGCCCCGCCTGGATGTTGATTTAATACATTTTCAAGATTTCTTTTAAATTTTCTCTATGTAAAAACCTTCTCTGGACTTCCACGCATAATTCAAGACCAAAATTAGCCAAATCATTAAAAGCATTGTTGAGTACATATATATTACAACGAAAAGTGGCATTTATTTTTATATATGTTGTAAAAACAACAGCATTTTTTGTCTTTTATAGATCTATAGTATTCTAAACAAAATTTTAGATTTTATTTTTTGTTTCAGGTTTTATGACTCGTTTACCTGTCTCTGAAGCCATAGATGTTCGTTTTCCAGCTTCTTCATCTTCTTATTCTCGATTTTAGTTTTTTCAATTGGTTGTATCACGTTCATTTTATTAAAATTATATTATAACTTAGTAATTCGTAAACTTTATATAAACCTATAATTCATTTTGAGAAAATGACATTATATCGGCCAACTAGATGAGTTTGGAATTACCTTAACTAAATAACCTTATTGTCATTTTGGTTTATGGCCATACGAAGGCAATTTCTTTAGATTTGAAGAGAAAACTCACCATTTCATTATGTGAGAGAGCAGATGATTTTTTGGGACGCATTTTGTAAAACTATTATAAAATATATAAAAAATACAATTACTATATAAAAGTGACTATTCAATCTAAACAGGGAACTGAGAAGCCATCTAGAAATATGTTTTTTTTAAATATTCAAAAAATGTTTTGTTGTAACTTTGCATACTATTGTCATAAAATAACATCACTTCCTCAAATAAATCTCTTCTTTAAGTCAGTGTGTTCGAATTTCAACCTAAATTGTCTTCAGATAATAGTTATTTTACTACCAACAGAATATCATCAGGTTATAGAAAAAAATTGCTTTACAATACTCTGAAATAATGCTATGAAAAAGTTAAGTGGTACACGAAGGATTTTTTTGAGCTTATACTAATAATAAATACTACTGTAATAAGGATCAAATTATATAATTATGAATTGTTAAATACTCTATGCAATTTCGACATGAAGCTTTAAGGCTCGATAAATTGACTATCCAATACAAATATAATTTTATTCGAAATTAAGCGGCACGACCACGCTGCTCATGAGTCCCGTTTTGTCTTGAAACTAGTCGAGCTTTTCTCAGCTTATTCACGTGAGAAAGTCGTCGTGATATTTAACACAGATTCAATGCAAACAAAATTTCTCTAACATAAATGTTATATATAGGTGTTATCATACCTCTTCTTCCTCTTCAATTTATATTTAAAAAAAAACGCATCAAAATCAATTGGGTAATTTAAAGATTTCAGCTTACACATCGACAGAAAAAGCGATTTTGTTTATACAACGTAGTGATTACTACAGGTGAAAATAAAAGTTACTGCGTCACCACAAAGTGTAAAAATGAAAACCTAAAGTCTTTTATGATCTGCAGGTGCATTTATCAGCATTGTGAGACCAAGCCGTTGTTATTATTATAGTTGAAAATATTTAATACTATTATTTATTATATCTATGTTAGAAGGTTGACGTCTATTCTCACGGGAGCTTCCACACTCTAAGCCATTCCCTGAAGGCTCTTATCCACACATAAAAGCTCTTTAATAAATATCACTGGCAACACTTAGCTCCTGAAGTTAAGCTGTGTTGCCAGCACTCGCCAACAAGTTGCATTGTTGCCAGACGAAAATAAACGTTTGTATTGTACGACAATAAAATGTATTGTTAACAACTTCTTGTTTTAAGTTTCTTGAGTTCAAACTGTAATGTTAGGAATAACGCTAAAGGTTTACGATTCAGTTTTTTTGTTCAGTAACACGTACTTACACAAATAAGTACACGAAAATTCGTAATATCAGGCTTGGTTCAGGAGGTTTCGGGGCGCGTTGGATCATGGATGAGTGTGCAGATTCGGTACGTGGCAAGTACTAATGTAGCTTTTTCTTAGATTGATTAATTTTTGAAAAATAGTAAAGGAAAGTACTGTTGAGAAATCTAGAATGATTATTTTTAAGTATAACACAATGTACATTTACACAGAAGTATTTAGAGTCCACTAACAAAAGTACATCGCTGTAAACGTAAAAAACTAACTTATATAATTGTAATAATATTTCAATACTTATAAAATATACAACTGAGTTACATAAAGTAAAATTTATTTATATTGTATTAATGACTAGCTTCCGCCCGTGGCTTTGCCCGCGTGGTATGTTGATAAAAAAGCCTATGTCCTATTCCGGAGTGTATCCTATGCCTGTGGCAAGTTTTATCTAGATCCGTCCAGCTGTTTTGGTGTGATTGAGTAGGTAACAAAATTTCAAACATCGTAACTATCGCATTTGTAATATTGGTAAAATAAGATACTTTCGAAATCTAAAAATATTAAACCTTCTTCGTGTGAAAAGAGGTCTTTTTTCAACATTTTGAATTTTAGAATCTTCACAGTAACATATAGTTTACTATATGAATTTTGGAAGAACATGCATGGTGACCGAAGATAATATAAATGCAAAAAAGTTTTGTAAGTCACAGGAATCAAACGTGAATACTAAACTCTCCATATCTGAACAGCAGCAGACACTAAGATGACAGATCCTGTATTCATTCACACGCCGACCGTTTTCATTCACAATGTGATCGCATTCACACCGAACTGTAAGTAATAAAAAAATCAAGTATTCAGCTTAATATTTTGCTTTATCTAAACTAATATTATAAAGAGGAAAATTAATTGTAAGTTTGTATGTAGGGGTAATCTTTGAAACTACTGGTCGGATTTCGAAATTCTTTCGCTGATAGACAGCTATAATGTTCCTAAATGCTATAGGCTATAAAACATCACCCTAAAACCAATAGAAGCAGAGCAGCGGGAGAAACTGCGCGAAAGTGTATTATAACTCAAGAAAGTTGAAAAGTCCTAAGTCGTGGTACCCTTTAGGGCCGGGTCACAAGCCTACGTATGAGTGTGCAGGTCAGTAATCTAGGTGGAACCAATAATGCTGTTTCTGAGTAAAAATTATGTCTGACTACACTGATAAAACACGAATAAAATCATCGTTACGTAACCTTTTTTTTTGGTTTCGGGTTGGAACATCCTCATGGAGACCCATCGCCCTCGGGGAAGGGCGAAGGGTACTGTCAGACTCTTACTGACTAAAAACCAACCCGGTGTTCCTCCAATAACCCATGTGTCGTAGGGGTGGGTATCGCCGAAGCATTCGTCGCAACCCCCCGACGGGTATTGGCCCGCCAGATGGTTTGGCGGGCCCCGTCACCCACTGCGGCCGTCACCCCGACCGCAGGACTCAACTATGAGGCGCGCGTGGAACACGGCGCCGCCGCCTCGAGTCCTACTGCTGGTCGGACGAATCGTTACGTAACCTGGACCAATTTCTAACTAACAAATTTGTATTTGCTAATCTGTCTTCGGCGAGTATGGAGATTAGTGCTTATTCCTTTACCGTTTAACAGGAGATATTTTGCCATTAGTAAAGTAAGATAGGTACATACACGCTGGCGATAATTTGTTACGATAGAAAATATTTTATACAACCTAGGTTTTAAATGTGACAGATGCATGCTCAGGGAATTTGTCCCTGAGGGTCGGCTGAATCGAAGACGTACCATAGCCTCATAAAAAACCAGCGTAAAACAATTAAAGAGTTAAGTTTTGCCGCGGGAATATGATTACCAGAGGCCTCCTCTTTTTTCAGCTTCCATCTCCAAAGTGCAACAACGTGGTTGCAAATCTTCTAGAGTGGCAGGCATCCATTAGAGCGTGGATGTCTTCCCATTAAATAGTTCGTCTGTTCGTTTCCCTATTTCATAAAAACATCTAGCAATCGAATTCAAGTCGACACTTAGAACAAGTACAAACACACTTACAATCGGTTTCCGAAAGACCAATCTATGTTAAAATTAAATTAATCTATTGTCAAGTCATCTGATTGGTTGTTAATAACTCAGTCAACCAATCAGATGACTTGACAAGAGATTT